CAGTGGCAGTGCAGTTACGGTATGAGTGGCCTTGATTGGCACATTTTGAACAAGTTTGTGTGTTACTGCAACGGTAGGTGTTGTGTCCAAATTGGTAGCAATTGTAGCATTGGTGAACTGGTATGTTGTGTTGGAATTCAATGTTTCGTGAGGGGATGATGTTGTTGCCGAATTTTATTCCGTTGGATTTTAATTTGATGGCGTCAGTTTGTGTGGCTGTAGTGATTTTTAACATGGGGAGAGTTCCCATCCGGGCTGCATATGTCATTTGGGAGGTGTTGTGTGAGTTGAGTTCTGTCAATAGGTTAGGGTTGTCAAGGATATGAGGGATGACTTTTCTGCATATGAGGGTGCATTTTGCGCGGTATTCCGGTGAGCTGAGGACCGTTGTCTTTTAATTTTTTGTTCATTGCTGGGGAGTGGAATTGGTCGGCGTCTTCGTCAGTCGGTACAAATATTTTGATGATGTCGTCATTGGTGAAGGAACGGATTTGGAAGATCAAAGTCAGCTGAAAAACAAGTGAGGCGAGGTCTGTGCACGGTTGGATGGTACGGTCCACTTTAATTTTAATAGATGGCATGTTTACCGATTTCAAATTTGGAGATTTATGGAGATCTCCCCTAACAATGTCCCTGATTTCCTGCGCCCCTCACGTAGGGGAGGCCCTGCACTATCACAGAGGTCCCCAGGCGAATCGGCAGGCTGTGCTGACCCTCCACCCTTCACACAAACACGCACTAGCGAGGTGTGGGGACAGAGGGCGTTTCCAGACGAATACTCCCCTGTACGTCAACTGACAGGGGAATAGGTCCTTTCACGGCACGGAAGATAAAGGTTAGAGTGGTAGAAAAAGGTCTGAAAACTTACTGATGACTCTCTTCACACCAAGCCCCTCAGCAGCATTCGGGGTTCCTAAGGGAGGTCCGATACTGTAGGAGAGGCTCAATGTGTCGATCGAATCAACAGATTTGTCAGTTATGGAGAATGGAGTCAGGTGCTTGTGATTTCCAGGGTAAGTGGGAGAGGTCCCAGAACTAGCCAATCAGCTGTGTCTGTTTGTTCTCTGGCGTCCCCGTCGCTCTGCGTGTCTGCTCTCTATGGTGGTCCTGGCTCCAACGTGGCGAATCTCAATGGAGAGACAGAGCTTATATATCCACCAGCCGTGAGTCCTCTAGGAGTCATGTTGGGAAAACCCAAGAAAGTCGCCGGTCTTTGGTTTCGTTGCTAGGGAAGGTGGTAACATCTGGTGACGCCGCTCGTTTGGTTGCTAGGATACGGTAGCATCGGAATGCGGATACGCAGTTGTAGGGGAGAAGTCCACTACATGTGTTATACCCAGCGGCCGCTTGGCAGCGCCACCATCACGGGAGGATAATCAAAATAACATTGAGTGAGCCATCCTCTCTTAGAGTATAGAATTCTTGATAAAACTGACACCATTTCCTCTGTCACTTAGGAGTTTGACATTGTATTCATGGTTGTTGGTATTGTTGATACTGGTTGTGATAGTGTTGATGATAGTGGTAGTTGTGATAGTGTTTCTGGCTACTATTCAAATAGAGACCCATCCACTACACTACCGATATTCACTTCGGGATGATATTTACTCGGCAGCTTGCACTAATTGCCCTAACCAGTTTTTTTTTTCTACATTCATAATTTACTTGTATTTCGTTTTCTTTTTAACATCTCAAAGGGAAAGATCAAAACTATAACAAAAAGTTATAATTTAGTCAGTATTACATTTAACATATCCTTTTCTCATAAAACGTAAATAATATTCTCCTAAAATGTTGACATACAGTACAGTAGACAAATTATATCGAAGGAAAGCAGATCTAACTATTGTTACCGGAAGAGTGATTTTCATTTATGTTTTTTTCATTTATATTGATCGTAGGCTATTGAAAGCTTGCTCCACCAGCCTCTCACGTACACTGTAGTGGCTTCACACCCAGCACCTGCGACAACCTCCACTGTAAAATATAAATACAAAACGTTATTTCTCAAGGTATGGTAAAAGATAAATATGTTACCATGAAATTAGCTACGTGTGTGGGCGCGCCTGTGTTTATTGCGAAACTAGTTATCAAAAAAATATCATGTCTGTCTTGTAACTTTCCACTCCACCTCACACCAGCCCCACCCTGCCTCCCCTCACACCAGCCCCTCACCACCTCCCCTCACACCAGCCCCACCCTACCTCCCCTCACACCAGCCCCTCACCACTTCTCCCCACACCAGCCCCTCCCCACCTTTCCTCACACCAGCCATGCCCCACCTCCCCTCCCACCAGTCCCACCCTAACTCCCCCACCGCCTCCCCCTTACACCACCCTCCCTACCTCACCTCACACCAACCCCTCCCCACCTCACTCCAGCCCAGCTCCACTTCACCTCATACCAGCCCCTCCCCACCTTGTATGCCATGATGGTGAAGGACAAATCAGCATTCAGTTTATACCTGCAATCCCCGTAGATTATCCCGAATCTTGCCCCTTCCTCTTTATATTAACCTTCCGTCCTTCCTCCCCACCTTAACCACCCATTCCCCTTCCTCCCCACATCAGCCTCCCCTGCTTCCTCCCACCCCTCACAAAATCTTCCATCCTTCCTCCCTTCCCTCCTTTCCATTCCCCCACTTTAACCACCCTCCCTTCTCCCTTTTCCACATCAACCTCATATCCTTCCTCTCTCCACTCCACACATTAATCTGCTCTTCCCTTCTTCCCCACATTAACTTTTCCTCTTCTTTTCCTTTCCCCACATCAACCACCCCAGCCATCCTCTTTCCCGGATCAACCACTCCACTCCTCCTTCCCCACATCAACATACCAGGTCGTTGACGAGGTTGATGTGGTAGGTAATTCCCCCATCGGTTTGGACCTTGGCGGCGTGTGCTCGCTCAGGGTCCCTGGGTACTAGCACTGGCAGCTCTGCATCGATCTGCAAGCAAACACAAAATAAGGTAAATAAAAATGTCGTTTTCAGTGACGAAAAATTTTCGTTTAGTGTGAAAACGAAGACTTTGTGAACAGTGCTTATGCTGGACAGAGTTTAAATTGAACATTGCTTTAAAGTGAACAGTACTTAAAGACCCCCACGAATGTTAAAGCTCTTAGATTCATTAATAAAACAACACACACACACAGACTTGCTGAGTGAGCTTTGTCAGGCAGTGAGGTATCAGGGTTCTGTCTCCACATTCCAACACCTCACCTGCGATGTTCCCCAGGGGACCAAGATGGGATCACTGTGCTTCCTAATCCTGATCAACGATGCTCTATCGGACACTCCTCGCAGGTGGAAGTACATGGATGACTGCACTGTGGGGGTTACAGCGGACAACACCTCACCGGACTACCCATCGCTACAAGGCACCCTGGACAGGCTACAGGCATTGACTACGGAGAACAAGGTCACCATCAATCACACCAAAACCACAGTCATGCACATAAACACCACCACCACTCCAGTGCAAGCTCCAGCAGTCACAGTGGGTGCCCATCCTCTCCAGTTAGTGCAGTCTGCCAAACTCCTGGGTGTAATTATAGACCACAAACTGGACTGGAAGGCCCATGTAAACAACACTATCAAAGCAGCCTCATATTGACTCTACATGCTACGACGACTCGGGTCACTCGGGGCACCCACGCTAGAGCCGATTACTATCTACAACGCATTTATACTCCCAAAATTAACTTAGGTGTCACCAACCTGGTCGTCTTCTCTCAACTCTACCCAACAACGTCAGCTAAAGAATGTACAGAAGAGGGCCTGCAGAATCATGCTCGGCGCAGACTACTCTGGCTACAACAACGCACTCTCCACCCTGGAAATGCCATCCCTCAATGACCTCCACCACCACGCACAAGCAGGGTTTGGTAGTGGACTACTACAGTACTACACCATCCTCGTCATCGCCACTTACTGCCACCTCCAGTCCGCCACTACAGCAAAATTCAGCCCATAAGAGCCCGCACTGATAGATATAAGAATAGCACCATCCCATCTATTGTTACAGACCCTATAATGTATTGAACGTATATTATTATGTCTAAATCACATGTAAGTTTGTATATTTTCAGCCACCGGCTGCAACTCTATTAATAAACCGTTTATTATTATTATTAATAATATTACTACTATTATTATTATTACTACTATTACTATTTTTACTATTACTATTACTATTATTACTATTACTATTATTAATATTATTATTATTACTATTATTATTACTACTATTACTATTACTATTTTTACTATTACTATTATTACTATTACTATTATTACTATTACTATTATTATTATTATTACTACTATTATTATTACTATTACTATTATTATTACTATTACTATTACTACTATTATTACTACTACTATTATTATTACTACTATTATTATTACTATTACTATTATTATTACTACTACTATTATTATTACTACTACTATTATTATTACTACTACTATTATTATTACTACTATTATTTTTACTATTATTATTATTATTACTATTATTATTACTATTATTATTATTACTATTATTATTATTACTATTATTACTATTATTATTATTATTACACGTTTTCACATCCAGTCATCAGTTTTTGATTGGTGTTACGTTTCGTGGTATAGTTTAAGTTTTGTTCTTTTATTAAAGTAAATAATTTGAGATAGACACCACACTACATGCAAAAATTACTCATATAATGTACTGTACATCCACTTAGCCTAATCACACCTAACCTAACCTAACCTAACCTTCATAACTCAAACTAACGCAACCTTATCTTATCAAACCTAGCCTCGCCTAACCATATCTACTCTAACCTTACCTAATCAAACTTAGCCAAACCTAACCTAACCGAATCAAAGTTAACCTAATTAAGCCTAAGTTATCCCAACCAAATTTAACCAAGCCTAACCTAATCTGTCCTTACTTGACCTAACCATACCAAACCTCATCTATCCTAGCCACTTTGACTTCCCAAACACTTCACTTTTGTTACGTCATCTCAACTGTTATAATTATTATTTTCATTCACAGGTTCGAGGCTTCGGTAATGGTTCATGAGGTCCGTGAGACGCGAGGTGAACCCAGGCTCAAAGAATCCCGGGTCGAGCGCCACGAAACACTGGCCGAGGTCTGTTGGCCCTGTTGTCTCGTGCCTGGCGTAGTTGCGTATGTGGGGGCCGTAAAGCGAGCCTGTGCTACACAAAGGAGACGTGTATGTGGTTAGTGTATGGTGAATCTCTCTTTCTTCCCTTATTAGTCCTCACCTTCCTCCCCTCTCTCTCCACTCCCATCTTCATTCCTTCCTACCATATTCCCCAAATCCTCCATTTCTTACTTTCTTTCGCCCTCCTATTTCTCCCTCATTCATTCCTTTCTTTTCCTCCCTCCTTCCATTTCTCCACTCACTCCATCCATCCTTCCTTCCTCATTTATCTCTCTCCCACCACCACTACTACTTCACCTGACAGTATTCCACAGAAGACCTCTACCATCATCCCGAGGCCAAACCCCCTGTAGCTGGCTAGTTCCTCAGTTCCCCCTAAGGGCAGCATAGAACCCTTGAGGGCCTTGGTAGCGTCCGTAGTAGGGAGGCCCTCACTGTCCACTGCCCAGCCTTCAGGTATATCCAAACCTTTGCGTCGCTCCATCTCGATCTAGCGGGGATAGGAGAGTTTGGTTAGGTTAGACCAGTGTTTCTCAAACTGGGGGCCATGGCCCCCATGGGGGTCACTGCAAGATTTTAGGGAGGCCATGGCAGTCTAGTGTAAGTAGTATATGTTTGGAGAAAATGTGGAAACTGATTAAATTTTTTTTTTGTTACTTTGCCTTGTTAGGGGGAAAAACCTTTTTTTCTTGTCGTCGTGTGTAATCATGATACCCATACGGTACAGTTTTGATACTAACATAGTACGGTGCAGCAGCTAGCTTTTCATTTCTAACGGATTCGCTCAGATTGCACGCTTCTAGTTCCTGTTCAGAGGAATTCCTTGATCTCAGAACGATTCTGCTGCCAGAGACCTCTATGAAGAAAAATCTCTGACTGTATTCTGGTGCTCAATGTATCAGTCATATCCAAAAGATAGTAAGATCGCACTTCGAGTCCTCTTGCCATTTTCTACTACTTATTTACGTGAATCTGGTTTCTCCACCTTCTTCAAATAGAGAATAAAAGCCGAAACCGGTTACACGTGGACCCAGACATGAGATGTGCTTTATCAGTGACTCAACCTCGAATCAGTTGACTGACTGAAAGGAAACAAGGTCATCCATCCCATTGAACTGTAACGAAATATGCATTCTGTTTGGTGATTGAAAACATTAAAATAAAGGAAGAGAACCAAAACAGTTTATTTTCATCATTATTTGTGAGGGGCTTGGGAGAGAACTGAAGGGGGGCCACGAGGATGTTGAGAGTTCCTCATGGGGGGAATGGAGTGAAAAAGTTTGAGAAACACTGGGTTAGACAAATGCACTATGCTACTTCTCGCCAAGACAAACCAAGCTTAAGAGCAGGTCAATGAATCATCCTACCAGTAACCATTACCCACTAGAAGTACAGTACCCACCTTGCGTATGCCCATCACACAAGTGGCCATATCCAGGAGGAAGTCATCACCTTCTTGCTGGCTCGGGGCCGCCACACAGATGGGGTTCGTGCCCAGAGCGACCTGAAACATATACACACACACACACACGCTGGTTGGTGCTAAGGCCGCTCTGAATACATGCCCCCCGACCATATTCCATCTCCTGACTACTTTCCATCCTCCCTATCACATCCCATCCCTCGACCATTTGTTATTCCATGTCTACTTCCCATCCCCCCTGACCATATCCCACCCCCCTCGAACCCTTTCCCCTCACCCCTCCCTTCCTTTAATACTCCCTACTATCCCCTGTTACGCCGTCTCTTAATTTACTTTAATATCCAGGTTCTAGGCGTAACCAAACAAAAAAAGTGAAGTAAATCAAAAGGGAATAAATATAAATAAAGTAAACCTTTAAGAATTTAATTAAATTAATTACTAACACAATAAAGAGCCTCGTAGGCTGTCACAACAAATTGATTCACTATCGAAACTTTTAAGACAAATGATACTAAAACATCGAAACATCAAAAGAACTGCTTAAACATATAGAATAAAAATAAAGCACTGGATTACGTTAACACTGCATAAACATATAAAATAACGAACACTGAAATTAACTATCGTGAAACAACACTGAATTACTTAAATGTAACTAAGCAAGCACTGATCGACACATAAGAGACATAAATAGGTACTCATATAAGTATACCACATTGGACTGAATGACAGGAGGACTGGACTGAACTGTCTGCTGGTGGGTACTACATATAAGGTTGGTTCCCGCCAGTGCGACACTCCTGTAAAACATGGGTCGTTTAACGATGCAGATGGTCGTTACAGAAACAAAGAATGCTTGTTACAATACTAAATGAAGAAATAATATGGGCTTGAACAAATAATGACAGTTAAAACCTTAACAGCACAGGGTAAGGTGACTAGATTATATAATAGTAAATATAACACATCATTACAGGAATAATATGGAACAACATTGAAGCATGTTATAAAAAATAATAGAAAAATACGACACCGTCGTAACACCCCTCAGTCGTTTGATCTAACTTCATTGATTATAATCAATACCCGTAGCCAAGTAATTATCTGGCTCCGGGCATAATCTTCATCCAGGGAATAATTTGTGACTATTTTGTTCTGTTTTACTATCTTTTGTTATAGAAGCGTTTCACGTGACGTCACGGATTTTTTTATTTTAATTTTTGATTGGTTTGATTGCTTAAAGCTTTCGGGTTTTGACAATGGTTAATTGCAGACTGAAATCTTTGGTCAACAGGAACTCAGTCGCCCATAGAAAATTGCTAAATATAAACGGTATAAACAAGAATAAACAGAAACGTACACCTTCCCCGTTTGTTTTGGTTGTATTTCTAGCCCACATTTTTCTAATTAATGTTTTGATATACGATATTTTTTTTTAATTTGTAACGAAAACAGAAATGCTAATATCATGGAAAGACTGTAAATGTTTTCCACTTTTTTTTCCTCGGTCATTCAATGTACTGTACTGTACTAGAGTTGTAATTTCTAATGTAATATTTAGTAGAATGCCCGAGATATCGAGTGTCCCATCGTCAAGTTCTACACTGTAAACATAATCGGATGCAAGATAGTTGACCCATAAGACAATCCAGTATTTCTGCAAGAATCTTTTAGGTGCTAATTTCACGCAGCACGACTGAAGGACCATAACATAATGACTTTTAGAGCCATGAATCACAGCAAAATTTCTTTTTTTGTTGGAGATAAGAATCGCGGGCCTCATTGTACTGGGGGTAGGGCGATGCTAACAGGTGGTGCCATTAGTACATACTGTAGGTAACCCATCTTCGGTCCACACTGCAAGGTAATATCCGGACACTATGTGATTCTGCGATAGGAACTTCCTCTTTGTTGATAATAACGAGGTCAGTAGTTGCTAGGTAGTGCATTTTATCGGTTTACTTCTGAAAACTATGTGGTGCTACCATAACTATCTCACTGTTGATACAAATGGTGTCATTAGTGAAGATGGAACTTATAAATAATGCGTAATTGGTTTTAGATATTACTAATGTTGTTTGGCTGAACTCTGTGATCTTTTACTGTACTTACCGTCTTAGCCCGGGAAGGTACGACCCCTGGAAACGTGTTGGTGAAGCTCATTCCCTGAAATAGCAAAATTAATGACCTGAATCACAACCAATGTACAGTATATGCCCTGAGACGTAATCTAGGTTTAAGTTTTTAAATACTGACCTCCAATTATTCGTGGATTAACGATCGCCCTGCTTGAATATAGGACTCGCATAAGCTCATCCAGGCATCTAAAGAACAGAGGCTCAGCATGTAACACCATTTTCACGTGTATCCGGGCAAAGCAGGGTTTGAGTCACCAACACATAAGTACGGCTAGTAGGCTGCGTAAGTTATATTGTATTTTGTAGCTCTCTCTCTCTCTCTCTCTCTCTGGGCGCACCAGCCAGCGATGCTGTAGTGATTAGTGCCTGCAAGAAACGGAAATATAATAGTTCACCTATAGTCTGTGTTTTACTGCATTTTATTCTAATCTTCGTTAAGTGTTGCCAAAACAAAACAGTTTAACACAGATCAAGATTAACTGTTTATTAGTGATAAGTAAAACATATTATAGTCAACTTATACAGTCATTTTGTCACTTTACACTGACTAGCTTAAGTAAAACAGCTTAATAACAGTTAATAATTCTAGAGTGTATACATTAACTGAAACAAAAGGTCTTTACAAAATTCAGTGTAAGCCTAACCTCTCGCACACACCCACCCGACGCCCGTGTAGTGGCGAGGAGTTATAAAGGTTCCGGGTCGTTAGGGTCACGAACACCGGGAACATTACCAATGAGGACACTAGCGAATTTAATGGGAGCTCTTACCACATTAGACTAACTAGTGAAATAGGGGCAACGCAGGTAGCACCTAACAACAGGGAACTGGTCAACACGACCTAAATAATCGGCGACACTAACCTTCGAGCAGTTGGAGACGTCAGCGTCAGGCAGGGCTTCCTCAGAGACAATAATGCACGAGCAACCGGTGTCCTTGATGATAGTAGATGCCCAAGACACCATTTATTGTACCGCTGACACAATAACGGGGGCAACTCCTGTCTTCCAAACAGAATCCGACCTTGTAGCTGGGCTGATGAATGTCGGTAGATTTAAAGGCGCGGGGATTCCTGGGACAGCGAGAACGAATGTGCCCTTCTCCGCAGTTGTGGCACCGCACGGCTGGTGAACTACTCTTCTCTACTCCTGTGAATGGCTCCTCGGAGGACGGAGGTTTCGTGTTCTTTACTACAGGAGGGGGAAGACTTGGGGTAGGCGTTGCGAGCGGACGCCCAGTTGTCAGCAAGTTCTACAGCTTCTCTAAGCGTCGCTTGGCCGGTGTTCCTTGATGAAAATTCTCAAGTCTGGAGGTAAAGAAGACAAAAACTGATCTAATATCATGAAGTTAGCGAGAGACTCAAAGGTTTCCTCAACCTTTGATGCCTCTAGCCATTGATGAAATAACCGACCCAGGTGGATCGAAAACTGCTGGTATGTTTCTCCTGCTCTAATCTTCGTTCTGCGGAAATCAACACGATAACCATCAGAAGTCTTGTTAAATCCTCGCAACAGAGCTTGCTTCAACAAAGAGTAATCTCTAGTGATGTCGGCAGACAGGGACGTATAAATCTCTACCGGTTTACCACTCAGTAGGCTACCCAACCTTACAGCATAGCTATCTTGGTCCACACCAAGCAGCTCGGCTCGTTCAAACCTAACAAGGTAGGAGGTGATGTCTTCTCCTTCACGATAAGCGGGCAGACTAGGTTTTACCACATTATCTTGTATATGGACAGAGGATTCTGGTCTACTCGGAGCATTAATCCTAGCTAGTTCTATGTCCCTTTCTGCCTGCAATTTAGCTAATTCGAACTCTCTTTCTCTGTTGCGTTCTTCTCCCTCTCTGTTGCGTTCCTCTCTCTCTCCCGAGTCTGTTGGGTGATCACATACTGACCTCAGCACCTGTCAGACCCAGGGCCACCGCTTGACCTTTCAATTCCTCAAAACATGACAATGATACGAAAGGTCAAGAGCAAAAGTGACAAATTAACAACTTACCCCGCAACTAGCCAAAAGTAAATACTTAGTGGCTCAATCAAACCAATAAATGATTGGATCCGGCTGGAGGAAACCTTGTTTCGCACCCAGTCCCGTTGAATCACCCCAGGGAAAAGAAACCGCACCAGATGAAACAACAACAAAATGCTAGGACAGCATCCACAGTGCACCCCAACCAACACTAATTAACTTCCATAGTACAAGGGAGAGCAAAACAATTAGCACAACAGAAGGAACGGATAAACACTGAACAACGCTTACTTCCCGGCCTCAGACAGCAAGCTGCGCGCACACGGCGACTTACAATAAACACGGGAACGAATATTATCCCTCAGAAACCAAGGTCAGAGGCAATCCTGGCAAGGTCGCCACTTGTAAGGGCCTGGGACTTAGGGATAGAAATCCCTTGCCAGCCTAATCAGGATCTTATAAGAGGAAAGTCAAGAACCATGGTTTTCCGAGGGATAATAAACAACCGTTCAAGATTGACATCTTTTTACTATGAAAATGACACAAAACTCTGACACTACTCACACAAACATCAAATAACAATTACGGGAGTCAAACAATTAATGGAAGTCAAACAATTAAGAGAATCAAACAATTAATGGAGTCAACAGTTTAGGGAATCAAATAATTAACGGGAGTCAAACAATGAACAGATACTTCCTACGGCGGCGGCCCTGGGGAAGGTTCTGGAAAGCAGTGATCCACTCTCAAGGGGAAGGTCAAGTCAGCTTCCTCACTTGAGCACCGGCGGGTGATGTCTTGCTACACAGGAGAAATGGCAAGGTGCACGGTCGGTGTGGAGGAACTGGCGATGACGTGGCAGCCGCTGTAGTAGCTAGGGGAGGTGTCCGGAGATTGACAGTCGACTTGTGAAGGTCTGGGGAAACAGCCCACGAGTCCAGGACCTCAAATGAGATCACAACCAGAATTTGAACAAACAGCGGGGTGCAAGTACAGCTGTACTGACGGCTGGGAAGTGTCTGCCCTGTGTGT